TGAAATTATTAGTAAAGTTTTGTATACTTTGTTGTATGCATCAAAATTTCTGTGACTGTTCAAGCAATAAATTCAAGTTCATGACACTAAAGTAGATGTGTAACTTTTCATTGATTTTTTGTAAAGGACAGCATTTCAGTCACGGTATACTGAAAAACATCATACAGGTAATGCCTTAAGCATGTATGCAAAAGGAAATTCTACAGAATGCTTCCAAACATCTGACATAGGAAGTAATAGCCGTATGCTAGTAGGTATACACAATGCAAACCTGAATATTAGCATACAGGGTAATGCTTTGAACACGCATGCTCAAGGAAATTCTACAGACTAGTGCCAAACATCTAACGTAGGAAATAATGGCCATACGCCAGTAGGAAATGCGTGTGAAAGAGTTTCCGAATAGTAACACATCTTGTCGTCTGGAGCGACTATATATCTGATATAACTATGCAAGTCAATATGTGATATACGTGATTGGTTTCATTTAGTTACATTAGTTACACCAGTGTGTAAAATCTGTGTCAAAGACCCAGAATTATTCTGATATCAAATAACGGGAAAAATTTCGATTTTATTCTGATAAAAAATTATTAACTATAGTAAGAAACATTTGATAATACGATGAAGTCAATAATATTGCACAATGTGCACATGTGCATAAAAAAGGCAATTGCGCATAAGAAATTGTTTTAATTTTCTTATTTTAGCAATAAATTTATCAACTTGTGTACATGACTTTCAGTTTAGATTTTACACAGTGAGTTACACACTCAGTTACACTTGTGCTCTGGATTTAACAATCAGTATATTACGCGTATAGTTTACGCGTATTAGGTAAGAGTGCATGTTTCTTTTTGTACCTGAGAACTATGTTTGAATCACTATTGAATGATTACTTCGATCATAACTCACAGAAGGAATGACGTGTATTCGTTACTTAGTAGTTTGAGTGACAAATGTTATGTGCACGAGTTTGCCAAGAAAAAGGCGAGAAAAATTCTGACAAACTATGATAAGACATTCTTTTTAACCGATGTAAAACGTTTCATTGATGAAATTAAACTAAAAAATGAAAAAAAGGAATTTCACATATCGATAAGTCAAAGAGTTACATTTGCAAGTACACTCACCTAGCAAAAATGACCGACTAACAATAATTTTAC